AGTGTGCACTATGACAAATGTTGATATATGTATATACCTGTAAAGCCACCATAGCAGTAAGAGAATAAACATAACCTTTACCCCTAAAAAAGTTTCCAAGTGCACCTTGGTAATTGCTCCCTCCAATCCCTACTCCCTCCCTGTAACTCCCTCTGTCCCCAGGCAATGACTGATCCCTGCTTTCTGTCACTAGATTAAGATTAGTGTGCCTTTTACTTTAGTTTAAATTACCTTATAATTTTACATGAACATAATCATGCCTGGCTTCTTTCACACAGCAGCATTAATTTAGATTCATTCATAGTGTTGCGTGTATGAGTAGTTCATCCTTTTTTAGTACTGAGTTGTATTTCTTTGTATGGATATGTTATAGCTCATTCGTCTGTTAATACACGTGGAGTAGTTTTCAATTTGGGGCTATTACATTCACGTACAAGTCTTTGGACATAGGCTTTTATTTCTCTTGGGTAAATACTTTGAAGTGGAATGGTGGATCATATGGTAGGCTTATGGTTTTTTAGCTTTTTAAGAAACCTCCAAATGTTTGAGGGATGAATATCCCAATTACCCAGATTTGATCATTACACATTGTATGCTGGTATCAAAATATCGCAAGTACCCTATAAATAAGTATAGCTACTGCATATCCCCCAAAATAAAATATTTTAGAAAGGAACTTCCAAGCTGTTTTCCAAAGTAGTTGTACCATTTTACATTTGCACCAGCGGTGGAAGGGAGTTCCAGTTGCTCCACATCCTTGCCAACACGTGGCATGATCAGGCTTTTTAATTTTAGCCATTCCAATAAGTATGTAGTCCTATCTCATAGTTTTGATTTGTGCTTCTCTAATGACCAACGTTCTCAAGCATCTTTTCATATGCTTGTTGCCTTCATATCTTTCTGGGTAGTGTCTGTTCAAATCATATCTCTTTTTTAAAAGATTGAATTGTTAATATTGAGTTTTCAGAGTTCTAGAAAAAGGTCTATTATCAGATATACGCTTTGCAAATATTTTCTCCCAGTTAGGACTTGCCCTTTTATTCCTTTAACAGTGTCTTTCAAAGACCAGAAACTTAAATTTTGATGCGGTCTGAATTTTTTCTTTTTTTTTTTTAAATGAAGTGCTTTTTTGTGTAGTATCTGAGAAATCATTGTCTATCCCAAGAAGTCACAAAGATTTTCTCCTGTTTTCTTCTAGAAGTTTTAGAGTTTTAAGTTTCACTTCAGTTTGTTTTTGTATAGGGTGCAATGTGTAGTTTGAAGATTATCTTTTTTACATACCCAGTTGTTACATCACCATTTGTTGAAAAGACTGTCCTTGTTCCACTAGATTGTCTTTGGACCTTTGTTGAAGCCAGTTGTCCATACATATGTAACTATTTCTGGACTCTCTTAGGGTCCATTGATCCGTTTGTCAGTCCTCGTGCCATTATCATACTGCCTTGATTACTGTAGCTCCCTTGCTTTTAGAAATATAATTAATATCAAAGTAATTCATGTATGATTAATATTACTTTTAAGGCAGGAGGGCCACCCACTTCTGTCACCCAGATGGAGCTTACCTCCACAGCCTCATTCTCTCCCGCTGCCAGCCTGAGCTTTTCTCCAAGGCCTTCTCTTGCAGAGGAGGCTATGATGTCCAGCTGGCCCTTTTTTGGGACTTTCATCAAACACTGAAGAGCAAGTGTGGCCACTTCCCTAATCTGTGGGCACTCAGTGGCTTTGCAGGAGAAGGAGAACAGCTGAATAATGACTTCCCACTCTCCCTTTTACTCCTGTTCAACCCCCAGCTCACCGTGCTCGTCCAGGGCTGGGTTTGGGGAGTATCTCCTGTGATGTGGAATAATAAGGCTAATTTGTGGGTTTATGAAGCACTTTCAAATGGAAACCAAGCTTCACGAGGTCGGGGGGCAGGAGAATACCCCATTTTATAGACGAGACAGCTGAGTGTCCTAGGAAGCTCATGAGCTGCCCAGTGTCTCCCAGCTAGGAGAGTAGAACCCTCCTTGACCCCAGGTCTTATGACTCCACATCCGCCAGTCCTCCTTTTATACTTCAGGGACGAGTCCCAGGCTGTCCTCTCGATCTGCCTGGTAATTACTGTTTTTCAGCTGTAGGGCTTCCTTGTTCTGGGGCCCCACGGGAGGAAGGTAATTACATCCTTCGAGATGCCCTTAGTCAGCAGCTCCGGGTCAGTTCCTGTGACCAAGCCCAGCTATGACCTTTGTCTGTCCTTTCCCCTTCCCAGGCCAGTGGCTTGGAGAGTGCGATTGGATCCCTCTGTTTCTCTCTTTGGTTGGTGCTGTTGGTGGCATCTGGCCAGCCCCTCCTTCACAGAGTGCCCATGAATTCTGTGTATTCAGGCAAATGGGTGCCCTTGGTCATAAGAAGGCACAGAGGGAAAGCTTGCAAATGTCTCACTACCAACCCTGCCCAGCTATTAGAAAAATTATGGCACTGACTGGCAGGGTCCTAGGGTGGGCCTCCTTGAAGAAAGAGCAGCCCTGCCTCTTAATGGGGTACCTGTGACTCATGAGCATCCATCTCATCGGCTCCCCACTTCTATCCCTGCTACCCACAGTCTGTTGGTCACATGTAGCCAGAGTTCCACAGGGCCTGTCTCTTTCACACATATGCACAGCCCATTTGCACATCTCAGAGGCTACATACTGCTTTTAGAACACAGAAGAACCCTTTATCATGGCCTTCAGGGCCCTGCAGAGTAGCCCTGCCTGCCTCCCCAGCCTCGTCTCTAGCCAGCTCTCTCTCACGATCTCTCCAGTCCCTCTGGCCTTCATTCTGTTCTTCCGGCCTCACTATGTTTTCCACTTTCCACAGGGCCTTTGCGTGTGCCCTTCCCTCTCTTCGTACTGCCCTTCTCCTGCACCTCTTTGCCTGGTTAGTTCTTACTTACCCTTTAAGCCTTCAGGTCAACCATCACCTCCTCTGAGATGCCCTGTCCAACCCTTCAGCAAAGTGGGCTGCCATGGTCATACACTCTTGGGGTTCCCTGTTATTTTCCTTCAGGACACTTTCATTGCGTGTAATTGTAGGTTTCTGTGATGATGGTGATGATTATTTGAAACGGAGTCTTGCTCTGTTGCCCAAGCTGGAGTGCAGTGGCACGATCTTGGCTCACTACAACCTCCCCCTCCCGCGTTCAAGTGATTCTCCTGCCTCAGCCTCCTGAGTAGCTGGGATTACAGGCACGGACCACCACGCCTGGCTGATTTTTGTACTTTTAGCAGAGACAGGGTTTCACTTTGTTGGTCAGGCTGGTTTTGAACTCCTGATCTCAAGGGATCCACCCGCCTTGGCCTCCCAAAGTGGTTTCGGTAAGTATTTGATTAATGTCAGTCTTGCCCAGGGGAGTGGAAGGTCCATGCAGACAGGGACCACTTTGCCAACCTTTTCTCACAGTGAAGTCTCTTTCCTTACCACTGTATCCTTATTGCCACACATAATAGGTGCTCATTAAATATGTGCTAAATAAGGGACTCCATTTTAGTGGCACCTCCTCACCTAATGTCAGACACTATCTGAAGTTTTACGTCCCTCCGGAAACCTTCTGCCTCCCAGCCTTGCCCATAGCTGACGATGCTTTTGCCATCCCTGAGCTCTCCAGTCGTCCTTTCCTGTAGGCCACCCAGACTCTCGTCATGCACATCACCTGGGGATTTCACAAAGGGAAAGATTCTGATTTAGTAGGTTGGGGTAGGTGCTGAGAGCGTACATTTTTAACAAACTTCCCTGAACCTCTGCTACTGGTCAGGGACCACCACACTTTGGCCTGGCTTGAGAGGTAAGGGCACCAGGTCATAGCTGCTTGGCATAGAAGACATGGTTCACTCAGGGTCATGGCACTGGCCCATTGTAGGTGGGCACAGTAGTGTGTGCCTGCAGTCCCAGCTACTTGGGAGGCTGAGCTGGGAGGATCACTTGAGCCCGGGAGGTGGAGGTTGCAGTGAGCCGAGATCACGCCACTGCACTCCAGCCTGAGTGACAGAGCAAGACTCTGTATCAAAAGTTAAAAAAAAAAAAAAATCCCTTTAATTTCCCTCTTTCCCTCCCTGCTCACCACAAATAACTAAGAAAGAGAGAAAGGAGGGGCAGGGCATGGTGGTTCACGCCTGAAGTCCCAGCACTTTGGGAGGCTGAGGCGGGCAGATCACGAGGTTTTGAACTGCAGGGGCTAGAGTGGGTCTGTTCTTTCATTGAAAAACTATTTGTACACCTACTAGATACTGGCTAACATGGTGAAACCCTGTCTCTGCTAAAAATACAAAAACAAAATTAGCTGGGCATAGTGGCGGGAGCTACTCGGGAGGCTGAGGCAAGAGAATGGCGTGAACCTGGGAGGCGGAGCTTGCAGTGAGCCAAGATTGCGCCCCTGCCCTCCAGCCTGGGCGACAGAGCAAGACTCCGTCTCAAAAGAAAAAAAAAAGAGAGAGAGAGAGAAAGGAGGAAAGGCAAGTTTTCTTTTCTCTCCCTGACTTTCTAACGTGCAAGGGAAGACCTGGGTGAATGAGGGGAGGCAGCCTGTGTACTGTGTCACTCTTCTTTGGATCACTGTAGTCCCCATATCTGTGCCTAAAGAACTCTCATTGTCCTCCCCAGCCCTGTCCCCTCTCCACACCTCTGGGCTGTGTAGGAAGCCAATGAGTGGCTCCTGGACCTTTTCCAAGCACAGTTGAAGTGCGGGCCCTTCCCGTGGAACACAGCTCCCTGAACAGCAGTACAAAGTTGGGGAACCCACCGGGGACGGGTGGACGAGGCCTGCTCTGCCGGCTGGGGGTCCTCACAGGGGGCCTTTGTTGTCTTCTCCTGAGATCCCTCCCAGCACTCACAGGTAGCAGTGCTCTGATCTCCTGGACCTCTGGGTCTGGGAGAAATGAGGGGAGGGAGAGCTTTCCAAGTGTCTGGAAGTAGGAGGCCGGACTCTGCAGAAAGCACGGGCAATCCACATTTCCCTCTCTTTCCGCTCCTCCCCGTCCCGGCAGGTCCCTGGATGGCCGGTTGCAGGTGTCCCATCGGAAAGGGCTCCCTCATGTCATCTACTGCCGCCTGTGGCGATGGCCGGACCTGCACAGCCACCACGAGCTGCGGGCCATGGAGCTGTGTGAGTTCGCCTTCAATATGAAGAAGGACGAGGTCTGCGTGAATCCCTACCACTACCAGAGAGTAGAGACACCAGGTATGCTGCCTGGCCCGCCTGTGGGGACAGCAGGTGCTGGGGTCGTCACCTCTCCCCCGACCCCCCCACTTCCCCCCCCCCGAGGGTCTGTGGTGCACTTGGGGGTGTGGGGACTTTGGTGCTGGTCTGGCATCGACACTGAGCCACCTCTGCTCTGTCTCCCCCGGACAGTTCTACCTCCTGTGTTGGTGCCACGCCACACAGAGATCCCGGCCGAGTTCCCCCCACTGGACGACTACAGCCATTCCATCCCCGAAAACACTAACTTCCCCGCGGGCATCGAGCCCCAGAGCAATATTCCAGGTAGGCACGTGGGCGGCACAGGCTGGCCTGGGAGGCAGGGGCAGCGGTCAGACATCAGTCCTGTGGCCCCAATCTCTGCCCCCTGGCCGTCCCCCGTTCATCCCCTCTCTCTGCACAGCTCTGGCCTGAGGGCCCCTGACTCAGAACCACATCCCTGTTGGGAGAGGACCCATGACCTCAGCTCCCCCCTTACTAGTGATGCTTTTTTTGGCATAGAGGAGCAGCGTGACCCTTCCGCCCGGCCTTGGTGCAGTCATTTATTTTGGAAGCGGAAATAGCAACACTGTTTCTCTCACCGCCCATGAGGCCGGGACTGGCGTTCAGTCCCCAGTGGACCGGGGGTCTGCAGAGGCGGGGAGTGAGCTGAGGGCCAGGCAGCAAGTGCGGAGAGCTGGTTCTGTAAATTCGCCTGGGCATCGGGCCTCGGTGAGGGGCCCCAACCTGGGTGGGAATTGAAGTAACTTTGAGTTTTCACTCTGCAGGGAGAAATGGGCTTTGCTGTCAAAGACTGCAAATGTTTTTAGAAGCCCCTCATTTACATGCAAATAATGTGTGAATCACCAGCACTTTCCGACTCCAGGAAAGCTGTGCTTGGCAGCACTTGGGCTAGTCACTTTTGCTTGCTGGGGCAGTAATCCTGCTGCGTTCCTCTTAGAGCATGCTAATTTGGACGTGACGTTCATCCTGGGTTAGTTTACTGAGCTGAGGTTGGCTACAGACCTGTGTGCTTGGGTCAGAGTGTTAAGGAGAGACCCACTGTCCAACCTTCTCAGATCCTTTGCGGGTAGCCCTGGCGTCCCAGGGGTAAGTCAACTACTCTGTGTTCAAATAGCAAACTTTGGAGGGCTTCAGTCAGGGTCTGGGGGAGGTTTCAGAGAAGTAGATCGCACTGTGTTTGCGACCATTGAACTTGTAACCTAACTGCTGAGTGAGGACACATCCCCTAGAGACAAATCCCCGGTCTGCACGGGAGAAGATAGTAGAGGGTGGGTCTGAGCCTGCAGGTCTTCAGAGGACAAAGAGGGGTGAGGCAGAGGCAAGTCCAGACGCCTCCCTGGAGGGGGTGGGGCTTAACCCTCACCTTGAAAGACCAGGAGAAGTTAGCCTGGTGGAGGCTCTAGGAGTACACACTTCAGACGTGGGAGTTGGTCTGGTCGTGCGTGAGCAAAGGCAGTTATGATCCAAGTGGGAGTCAGAGGTGGACAGGGGCGAGGACAACAGAACAAAGAGCTGGAACCTCTACTCCGAGACCTGGAGCTCCTGCAGCCAGGGACACTAGCATCATGGTGTGCATGTGTGATGTGTTTGCAAAAGGTGTCTCAGAGCCCAGCTGTGAAGACCTTTTAACGGACCTCCTTCCTTCTCATTCCCAGAGACCCCACCCCCTGGCTACCTGAGTGAAGATGGAGAAACCAGTGACCACCAGATGAACCACAGCATGGACGCAGGTCAGTCATGCAGGCATATGCTCTTATTCTTAACTGATTAGCAGCTGGTGGGTTCAGCCCTTCCATCCCTTCCTGTTCACCCCCTTCCTCCCTCTCTCCTATCTCTCTCCAGTATTTGTAGAGCAACCATGATGTGCAAGGGGCAGGGCATAGAAGAGGGTCCGAGCTGCCCACGGATGATGGGGGAGATTGACAGGACAGCCAGCAGTCACTGGGCCATCTCGTGTGTGCCCTGATGGAAGATGCCGCATGGCACCAGGCACACAGCAGGGCCACTTCATCTGGTCTGGGGAGGAACAGCACCTTGCAGTCCAGGTTTTTCCCCACGTTGAGTCTTGGTGATGTGTAGGTGTTAGCCAAGCTGTCAGAGTGGGCAAGGGGTGTGCCAGGCAGAGTCATGGGAGTTGGGCAATTCTGGGTGCATTCTGAGCCTGGTGCATTCTGGGGACAGTAAGAGCTCGGTGTGTCTGGAGTCTGGAGAGTGTCCAGCCCAGGGAGCTCAGCGTGACTGGAGGATACACTCTCTCCAGTGGGGAGAAGGATGGGAGGGCCCACCACACAGGGCTCCGGGTGTGATGGACCTTCAAGCTGGCAAGACCACTTGGCATTGAGTCAGGGCTGATGGGAACCACTGCAGGCTGTAAGCAGGACCTGGGCCTTAGTGAGATGTCACCGGCAGCAGGGTGGAGAGTGGCCTCGATCACCTCAAGAAGTCAGCTGGGAGGCAAGAAAAGACTGAATGGAACTAATGCCTCTTCTGATGACCAGTGGAGACCCCTGAAGCCAGTATTTTTGTGTGACAACCACATGTGATGTGTGTGCTCCTGCCGTGAGGGGCAGGCTTTAGTTCTCGCCTGCTACATCTCCAGATGTTTCCCATATCATTTGTTATAGGACCAAATTGGCTCCAGACCAGCAGCTTCTTGAATTGAACCCCAGCTGCCACATAGAATGTGTACTGAGTTGTGTGTGGTTGGGAGAGGGGGAGAAGGGGAGAGGGAGCCACGCAGATGTTCCATTCCGATGGTGGTGGGCATGCCTCGTACGCACAGAGCCGCTAGACACAGCGGAGCCACCTGCCCTCGCACACAGCCCAGAAGAGATTGTGCGATTCCTTCCCCCACCCGCCCCAGACGGAGTCTCCCTCTGTTGCCCAGGCTGGAGTGCAATGGCGCGATCTCAGCTCACTGCAACCTCTGCCTCCTGGGTTCAAGCTATTATCGCGCCTCAGCCTTCTGGGTAGCTGGGATTACAGGCAATGCAGCACCACGCCCAGCTCAGTTTTGTATTTTTAGTAGAGACAGGGTTTCACCATGTTGGCCAGGCTGGTCTCAAACTCCTGACCTCAGGTGATCCGCCCGCCTCAGCCTCCCAAAGTGTGGGATTACACCGCATCCAGCTGAGGTTGTGCAATTCCTGAGAGAACGAAAGAGACTCGCATGTCCGTTGTAGTTGCTGAAATCCAGCCTGGACATCGTGGCACTTTTGGGTTGAGCACACCCGGTGGAACACACCCGCCCGGCGGAGTGGCTAGCAGCGCGAACCAGCTGGAATGCATCGAAGACCTTCCTGTATCCGATGCCAAGAGACCGCTGCAAGCTTGCAGCTCTTCAGTGCAGGCACGGGAAGCAGGCCAGCGGAGCAACATGTCTCCAGCTGCTGTGTGTCTCCCCACTCTGCGCTCCCTCTTCCCCCTCTGCTGCTCTCCGTATTTGCGCAGTGATTACTGTTACAAACAAACATGGACCAGAGGGGCCGGAGATTGGAAAGAGCAGCCCAGATTTCATCCTGTCAGCTCTCGTTTCTTCTCCCTCCTCTTCCTCCTTTGTGCCTCCCTTTTCTCTGTCCCCTCTCCCTTCTTCCTTTCTTCTCATTAAGGGTGCCTTCAGGGCCCTGTTGTGAACATGAGTGATTTATCTGAAGTAGAGACAGACCAGACTTGCGGACCCCAGCCAGTGTGTGGGTGGTGGGCGGGGGCTCTCCTGTTTTAGTCTCCATTCTTCAGAGTTGCCTGCTTGGATAGTCCAGTTGCTCACGGGGTTGGCTTCCCTGCTCCGCGGGGTGTGGTAGCATCTCAGGGCCAGAGGGTCACCTTGTTGTCCCCCATGTCGCCTCACCTACCTCCACGCCCTTTTAGACTTGCGAGAAGGCCCCTTGGACTTCCTAGGTGTTCGTGGTTCAGGTCACTACAAAACAGGGGACAAGCATTTATCGAGTGCCTACCACGTAGCAGTCATGGTGTAAGCCTTTTTATATGCACAGTCTCACTTAATTTTTACATGTCACACAGTAGATGATAGTATCCTCATTTTATACCTGAGGAAAAAATTAAGGCTCATAGAAGTTAAAATGGCTTAGCCAAACTCACATAGCTGATTTGTGGGGTTGTCTAGACCCTGTGACTGATTATGTAACTCAGTTCTCTCAGTGAACATTCCACATCCCTCTTTGCATTAGGGGTTACAGGGAAGGAGGAGAAATCCGTGGTTCTTCCCTTGCCCTCAAGGAGGTTACAGCTGAGTTGGGGCAAAAGAAGAGATCGCATGAACAGCGCAAGGCAGCATTCGCTTGAGGCCAGATGCGACCCAGTCTCAGGACTGATAGATTTCATGGGGTGGAATTAGACCCCATAGGGTGGTTAATAAATAAATAGCCTCCTTTTTTATTTTTATTTTTTGAAACAGAGTCTCACTCTGTTGCCCAGGCTGGTGTGTAGTGGTGCAAACATGGCTCACTACAGCGTCTATCTCCTAGGCTCAAGTAGTTGTCCAGCCTCAGCCTTCACCACTCGTGGCTATTTTTTTTTTTTTTTTTTCTGTAGAGATGGGGTCTCCCTATATCACCCAGGCTGGTCTCAAACTCCTGGGCTCAAGTGATCCCCCAGTCTTAGCCTCTTAAAGTGCTGGGATTATAGATGTGAGCCATTGCGCCTGGTCTCTGCAGCCTGCTTGATAGAGGAACAGAGGAGGGGTAACCAGCAGGATGCTGCTCTGGAAAGGTGTCCACTGTTTATTTTTGAAGGCTGATACCATGTGAGTTCTTTTCTCTGGAGGTGAGAGGTGTAGAGAACATAATAGAGTAAGAATTGGGTAGATTTAGACTTTTTCCCACATGCACCATCATCTTTTGCATAAAGTGTTTGTCTGGGCCGGGCGCGGTGGCTCAAGCCTGTAATCCCAGCACTTTGGGAGGCTGAGACGGGCGGATCACAAGGTCAGGAGATCGAGACCATCCTGGCTAACACGGTGAAACCCCGCCTCTACTAAAAAATACAAAAAACTAGCCGGGCGGGGTGGCGGGCGCCTGTAGTCCCAGCTACTCGGGAGGCTGAGGCAGGAGAATGGGGTAAACCCAGGAGGCGGAGCTTGCCATGAGCTGAGATCCAGCCACTGCACTCCAGCCTGGGCGACAGAGCGAGACTCCGTCTCAGGGGAAAAAAAAAAAAAAAAAAAAGTGTTTGTCTGGTTGCTGAGTTGCAGGGTTTCTGAGACAGGTTTGTGAGTTTCCTGGAACTGATCTTTCTAGCACCTGAGCTGCTGCAGCCTCTGACCAAGGTCGTGGCTGGTGATGCTGGGGAGGCCTCAAGCCCCGCCTGTGTGGGAGGGCTGGCCTCCTGCTTCCTGGGTCTTTGCAGCTTGGGAGAAGGGCTTCCCTGGTCCTCTCATTTTCCTGAGGGCATAGTTAATAGGGCAGGTGGTGTAAGCTAAAGAAAAAAGGTGTCACCTATTCTAGTTGAGAACTTAGCAGCCCTGAGCTGGGAGTCTTGGTTAGCATCATAAAACCATCCGAGACCTCTGAGATCATCCACTCCATTCATTCATTCCAGACAAGAAATTGGGGCCCAGGGAGGGACAGTAGAGGCAAGGGTATGGGGTAGGCCTTCTCCTGGGACTTGGAGGCTCAGTCCAGGGTTTTCTTTCTGCTGTGTTGAGCCACCCCACCTTGATAGGTAAGTGTTTAGTAATTTGGCTCTCCAGGCCAAGAATCTTTTGTGAAGTCTCACAACTGTGTCTCACCTCGCAGGTTCTCCAAACCTATCCCCGAATCCGATGTCCCCAGCACATAATAACTTGGGTGAGTATCTCCTGGTGCACACAACTGGAACCCCCTCTAGCTGCAGCCCTGGCGAGTCGCCAGTGTGGGGAGGGGGCCCTGAAGGTAAGGCTCTCCCCCGACGCCTACCATCAGCCCAGCTCAGCCCATCAGGTTTCTGGTTACGGTGATGCTGAGGTCACCACAGAACGGAGAAACTTGAGAACAGTGGTGGCAGGAAAGGCAACCATATGCCGGGTTTGTATTTCCCCTGGCGGGGCCGGTAGACGTGAGTGAATGAAAATTCCCCAAACCTTATGCCCAGGAGAACGAGGGTATGTGGTCAGCTAAGCATACGTATGCGGTTTGGTGCAAAGCCATGGACAGCCGTGCAGACTCCAGCCCCCTGACATTTAAAGACTTGTTTCAGATACACTTACTGGAGTGTTTCATCTTACAATTATGTAATTTTTCTTAAAACAGCAACATATAAGGAATTTGAAAATAAAGTCAAAGTGCCCATAATCCCAGCACCCTAACATAACTGTGTGTGATCACAGTCCTGATGTTCGTGCATCAGGCATATACATACATATCTGTGCCTTGCCACTGAGATCACAGTGCATATCTGGTTTTTTCATTCTCTCTTCTCCTTACGTTATTTTGTAAACACGTTTCTGTATTTACGTGTCTTGTTTATCGTTGTTATCGCGTGATGTTTTGGAGTGCAGGGTCCATTGTTTCTGCTACATCCCTCCGTGGTTAGACTTCTGGATCAGTTTTTCCAAGACTCACTTTTCTAACCCAGTAGGGTCCTTCAGTTCTCCAGCTTGGGATAGACTTTGGCATGGAACCTGCCAAAGGGCTCAAAACAAATGAAATATCCGTTTAGTTTTTATTGATGGGAGTTTTTTTATATTCTGGTCTGGTAGTTTTAGAAAATGTAGGTTGGATTTTGTCTGGGGCTTTATTGCTGAGGCTTAATTTGTGGCTCAGGAAAAGAAACAGTTAATATTTCTTGGCGAATCAAAGTGGATTGGCCTGGTTTTTGTGCCCATTTGCTTCCAGACCTTGACTGACAGCGTCAGATGAAGAAACTCATCATTTGGAGTATTAGGAGATGCCTGAAACCCTTTAGAACAGGCTGACCTGGGCAGTGTGGGATGTGACTTTGGGGGGATCTGTTTTAACATTTTTGTAAAATAATATCACCGTGAGTGCCGGGCTTTGCAGAGGGAAGGTCAGATTCCTGATATGAAAGGACTGAGTTATTAAAAACAAACTGAAGGCTAGAAGCGAAGTTAACTCTTGAGAAATTAAAGGCCATGATGATGAACTTGACGCCAAGCTTTCAGCTTTTGAGATTGGCTGCTTTAGATTTATTTTCTGTGCCATTTTAAAACCCTACTGGGGCCAAGGTAGCACTTTTAGTCATCAGCCTTCCAAGCAGACACTTGCTTTTGAAACTATAGCAGTCCCAGGGCAGCTTGGAGGTGGCTGATGCTGGACGCGGTGCTCCAGACTGAAAGGTGGTCATTTGCTGTGAACTGCCCTCTAGATTGTGTAGACTAGGATGAGGATGATGGGATGTTTCTTGAGCTTGGACCCAAGGCAGCATACCCCATTGATACAGTTCTCCCTCCCTACTGCCCCTTCCTCAGGCAGCTTGCCTGAGGATTGAGGATTCTTAGGTTATTTCTTCCAAAGGGAGGACCCTCCCCGAGCCTGGCCAGCAGAGAATGGGTGCCAGTTTGCACTGGCCTAGTTGCACCTCTGCTGGGACAGTGTGACTCGGGGGCGAGTCGCCCAGCGAGTCAGGGTTAGGGTTCTGGATGAGACACTGCGCTGACAGGCCCGGCTTCCCCTCTGCTTCATGAGCCCCTGTGCTCCCCTTCACTCATTCAAACCATTGACTTCATCCCTACTCAGAAGGTCGCCTGAACTCCCAGTGTGATAGCTGGAAGGGGGTGAGATGGTGGTGACGATGGGAAACATTTCTTGAGTTCGCTGTTTACTGTTATTCAGAGTGCTTCCTGCGTGTTAACCCAATCCTTGTAACTTTATAAGGCAGAAGTGGTGTGATTTTTCATTTTACAGATTAGGAAACCGGGGAACACATTGGTGAACTGACGTGTCCCAGATTCACAGCTAGTGAATGGAGAAGCTGGCTTTGAACTCAGGCCCTCTCACTCCAGAGCCTACACTCCCATTGCGGCATGACACTGCCTTGCTGGGCCATTTGGACCAGCTGTCCCCACCCTCCTCACTTGGAGGAACAAGGCTCAGGCAAGGCATTTGCTGACTTTTACATTGGAGACTAATGCTAGGCTGTGGCCCCAGGAGGGGAAGCCCTGCCTGCTTACCTGCCTCTTCCTCACTCCTTCATTCCCAGATACTTGTGGTCTGCATGCCGTTCAGGTGGGGGATTGGAAGAGGGACCACAGACCCAGCCATCAACGGGCTATGGCCTTGTTGGGATCAATAAGGCAGGACCAAAAATTATTCTAAAACAAGAAGTAGGTGCAGATGAAGAAATCTGAGGGTTCAAGGGAGGGAGCGATGGAATTCCAGGCCGGCCAGGCGTCTCCTCTGTATTCATGCACTCAGTCAACATTGGCTGAGTTCCCAGTATGTACTGATGCTGGGGGCCAGAGCTGGGAGAGCACTAGGCATTTGCAGCCTGGGGGCGGGGGAGGGGCAGCTGGAGGTGTCCACGTCCACCTGTAATGCATTGTGCCAGGTGCCCAGGCACAATGGAGCAAGCCCAGAAGAAGGAGGAATAGTGCATGCCAAGGAGGAAAGTAGGGAAGTGTGGATGGAGTGGGGAGACATGGGAGAGGTTGTGCCATGTGTGAGCGGGCGCTTGAAGGACAGGTGGGACCCTGTGAGGCAGAGAAGGAGGGAAGGCCATTGCAGATCTGAGGACAGCTGACATGGTGGTTGGTGGTTGTCTCAAGAAGGACAAGGTGGGAAGACGAGGCTGAAAATGGCAGGGGGGGCACTGAGAAAAGACCTGAGTGTCTGCTTAGCGCCGTCTTACCTGTAGAATACAGCTGTTCATGGGTTTTGAATGGGGAGGTTTTCTGATGACAGCTTCATAAAGATTAATCTGGCCACTGTGTGGAAGCTAAATTCTAGGGGAAATTACTGGAGGCAAAACAAAACAAAACAAAAACAAAAACCCACTTACACAGCTCTTCCTCTCGAGGAGGCTGAGATGGATGCTTTCGAGAAATGGTCCAGAGCCGGGAGAATGCATTTGAGAGGGAGTCATGGGCCTGAATGAGCAGGGTTTGTTGACCAGCGTTAAGTGGGGATGATGGTAATGCCTCCATCGAGGCTGGACACCCAGGAAGTGGAATGGGTTTGGGGTGGAAGATGGTGGTGGGTTGCCTGTGCTTAGTCAGGAAAGCAGCTGGCGCTGGAGGTGCAGATTTGGAAACCATTAACATATGTGGCAGCCTTTCCCATAGCGGGGCCTGAGAGAAGGGATTTGGTGGTTAAATGAGTGTGGAAAGCCTGTATTGTGGCCCCTCCTGCAGCCCCCACTCAGGAGGGACTCACATGGCCACGCTCTGAGGAGCCTGCAGAAGGAGGCCTGTCTGACCCAGTGTTCCTCCCATGCACTGATCGCTATTCCTGCACTTCTCTCTTAACACCCCACTGCCCATCCGTAGATCTCACTCTGCAAACACCAATAAAGTTTGGCTGAAGTCATGACAGTGGATGGATTTAGTGGAGAGGGCGACCCAGCTCAATATGGAAAGACAGCCAGAGATGCACTTGGGTGGGGGGGTTCCTTGGGGAAGGCTAAGGTCAGGGGGATGATGGGGTCACCGCAGCTCAGAGGGGAGGGAAGCCCTGAAGGACGGTGGCCACAAGCAGGCCCTGCAGAGATGCAAAATGAGATTTAAGAAGCGGCCTTGGATTTGGCATCAGGGGTTCAAGGGGGAGCCTTTAGGGAGCAGTGTGTGGGAGGGGAGGGGCAGCAGTAGTCAGCAGTACACTGAAGAGCAAGTAACAGGTGGGGAGCGGAGGCACCCAGCAGCGCAGCCTTTGCACTGACTCAGAGTCAGTGAGTCCCAAATCCTAGGATGGAGGCAAGCACACAGGGAGCTCTTCCTAGGAAAAAATGGGGACATCTCAGGACATCTGATTATTTCTTTTAAAGAGATTATTATGAAATTACTGTGCAAAAAGAAAGAAAGCAGAGGACATCTGGTTTCTCCTTTCATTTCCTCTGCACTCCGGGCGTTAGCTCCAGGGCTCAGATCTGGGGAAGGTTGAGCCTCTTGCCCCAGCAAAGCCACTTCTGGTAATTACGGGGCAGGGACTCCTGGTTGAGACCGGGCTCAGCATCCTGCCCCAGGCAGGCTCTCGGAGACCCTGGGACCGTTGTTTGCAGGACAGGGGATACGAGCAGGTGATGTTCCTGTTATTACACAGCGTGCTGGGTGAGTCACCGGGAATTTCCTGGGCATTTAAGGCGGAAGGATTGGGGTAAGTGGAGGGGAAGGAGGAGGCAGGTGGAGAGAGGAAAAAGGTAGTGAGCTGGCTTGTGCCCGGTGAGTAAGTTGTTCCCTGTCTTAAAGTGAGACAATTAGGGCGGAGCTGTGACTGAGGAAAATAATGTACCAGGGAGAGCCCTGGGGGAGCAGTTGAGCTGCAGTTAAAGGAGGCGATGGCTTCCCAGAGTGCCAGTGCCAGGAGAGAGAAGCGGGGATGGGGCAGCTTGGAGTGAGAGGGACAGGGCAGCTTGGAGGTGGCTGATGCCGGATGCGGTGCTTCAGACTGAAAGGTGGTCATGTGCTGTGAATTGCCTTCTAGATTGTGTAGAGTAGGATGATGGGATGTTTCTTGAGCTTGGATCCAAGGCAGCGTCTCCTGTTGACATAGTTCTCCCTCCCTACTGCCCCTTCCTCAGGCAGCTTGCCTGAGAGTTGACGATTCTTAGGTTATTTCTACCAAAGGGAGGACCCTCCCCGAGGCTGGCCAGCAGAGAATGGGTGCCACTTTGCGCTGGCCTAGTTGCACCTCTGCTG